GTGGGAAAGAGGAAGGTTAACAACTGGAATATGGTTTCAGAGACTCAGAGTCAAGATCAGGCATTTTTTGGTACTTAAAGAAATCTGGCTCCAGTGTCCAGATATCCCAGAGCGATGGCTTCGACTTTGTGAATGATTCATGGTCAAAGTGTGAAGGGCAGGAGAGACAAAATAAGTGTCCCAGTGCTTTGAAAATGCTAATATGAGGCCCAGGGGTGGCTTCTTAAGGAGGGACAGCCCGGAGAGTGTGAGGACCCTGAACTCAGACATTGCTGGGTTGAAATCCAGAAGCTGCTGCTTGTCAGCTATGTGGCCTTGGGCATGTCACTCTCCCCCTCTGAGCCTCACTTTCCCCTTCTGTATAATAGGGAGAATGAGACCTTCCCTGTAGGGAATACGGGATCAAATATATCAAGTGGTGGGGTGCATGGGTCAAGAGCCCAACTCTTGATACCGGCTCAGACCCTGATCTCACAGTTTGTGAGATCGAGCCCTGCATTGGGCTCTGCACTGACAGCATGGATCCTGCTTGGGATTCTCTCTCTCCCTCTCTCTCTGCTCCTTCCCCACTTGGTCTCTCTCTCTCTCTCTCAAAATAAAGAAACATTTTTAAAAATGTTTAAACTATATCAAGTGTTTACACATTGTCTGACACACAGAGAGCCTCTGATAACACCACCCAGAGTGGAGGAGATGTCCACTTAGGTCCCAGTGGCAGAGCTGACTTGTGTCAAGTGGATTCAGCCTCTGAGCCTTGTTTCTTCATCTGTAAAAATGGGGATCCTTAGACCAGCAAGCCGATGTGAGTGTTCAGCAAGGCTACACCTGGAAGCCGCTCTGCCTGGTTCCCGGCAGATAGTACGTCGCTGATAATTCAGGAGCCGCAGTGATACCCCGATATTCCTATAAGCATCTCATTATCATCATAGCATCCTTATTATTGGAAGGAGCATGGCCTCAGAAGACAGAGAAACCTGGCTTCCATTTCACTCCGTCATTTGAGCTCTCTGTGACACTGGAAGGCAGCTTCCTTGAGCCTCAGGCTCCTCGTCTGTAAAATGGGAGAAGCCACAGCATGTACCCCATATGGCCTCTATGAAGGTTGAGTGGATCCCAGGCACCCAGCAAGGAGCCTGGCATCAGCGGAGGCTCAGTGAACAGGAGCGGAATTGAAGAGAGAAGGCGAGCTCCCTTGTTTCTAAAAGCAACGCGGTGTCCCTTGCCCTGTGACCAGAGTGGGCTTCCAGCTAACTGAGTTTTCTGGTTACGGGAGGGTCTGTGCACCTGCTTTGGGCCTCCCACCTCATTGATGTGAATCTTTAGCTCAAAGGCCTGCCTCCCCTCCCTGCCCTCCTGAGTAGCACATTCTCTGAGCATCATTGCACCATCCTCGGGGTGACTGATAAGCATCCTGGGCCACGGGATGGGAGACTGGCCCGTATTTCCCCGTGCAGAACACTAGTAGCCTTTGGGCTGTAACAGTTCCCCATTTGGGGGGTGGAGCGCTATCCTGAACAGAAGAGAAATCTGCATAGTCTGTCCCCACCCTGCCATTTACAAGTGGGGAAACCGAGGCCTGGAGGAACGCAGCGTGAGTCAGCAGCATCCTGGCCACCCCCAGCTGCCACAGCCCCCCCCCCCCCCCCCCCCCCCCCCCCGACCAGCCTGGAGCAGGAGCAAGGGCTGAGGAAAGCAGGGGAGATAGGACTGGATGGGGCGAGCCTGTAGCGTGCTCTGGAAGTTAGCCGTTTAACCAAACTCCAGATATCTTCTCGGTTTGCTAGATTTGCCTCCACAAGGAATGACATGGGGCTACTGGGTGCCAGGTGGTAGAAATAATCACCAGGGTGACAGCTGACATTTCAAATGATCATTCCCAAGCTCCCTCCCTCCCCCTCCTCCACCATATTTCTGCCTAGGGAGCAATTCCATAGCCTTTTCCCTGCACGTAATTGTAAATAGATGTGTGTATGGCACCAGGGTGGTCTGACACTTCAGAGGGACCAGAAACAGACCTAGATGGAGGCATACATGGTTTTTGTTAACTCACTTCCCTTTTTCCTAAGGGCTAACATTTTCTTGCTGACAATGATCCCCAGTAAGTTTTTGCCAACCGTGAGGCTTTAGGCTTGACCTCCTGGTCTAATGCCTATCACTCTCAGCTGCAAAATGAGAGTTTACTCCACGCCTTCTAGAGTTTTCCATAAGGTGTGATGCAGTGATGTTTGTGAAGTTCCCAGCAGAGCAGCTCGGTGCACATGGTAGGCGCCCAGTAACTGACGCCCATGTCTTGGTTTTGATCTGTGCTGGTTTTACGTGAAAGCTGCATTCCGGAAAGGTTCACACAACTCAAATGTGAGAATGGCTGACCCCAATTTTAATCATGGAGGCTCCTGGGTGGCTCACTTGGTTAAGCATCTGACTTCGGCTCAGGTCATGATCTCATGGTTCATGGTTTGAGCCCCGCATCAGTCTCTGTGCTGACAGCTTAGAGCCTGAAGCCCACTTCAGTTCTGTGTCTCCCTCTCTTTCTCTGCTCCTCCTCTGCTCACCCTCTCTCTCTCCCTCCCTCTCTCTCTCTCTCTCAAAAAAAAAAAAAAAAGAAATTAAATGGGTGTCATGAACCTTTTGATAAATTTGACAGGGGGCATTTAAAAACGTTTTAATTTGTCTTAATGATATTGAAAAATGCATATTTAGTGTAGAAAAATATAGAAAAGGGTTTTTAAAAGATGGAAATAAAAATTGCCTATAATGCTGCTCCATTCGTCAGCATTCTCCAGGGAAACAGAACTTGTAGGAGTTTTATGTATATATATATATGTTAGGAGATTTATTTAGGGCCTTGGCTCATGCAGTTGTAGAAGCTGGCAAGCCTGACAGTTTTAGGGTAGACCAGCAGGCTGGAAACTCAGCAGTTAATGCCATGGCCTTGAGGCAGAATTCCTTCTCTGGGAAACCTCAGGTTTTGCTTTTAAGGCCTTCACCTGATTGGATGAGGCCCGCCCACGTGCTCAAGGGAACTCTCCTGTAAGTCTCCCCAAAGTGAACTCATTATAAATGTTAGTCACATCTACAAAATACCTTCATAGCAGCACCTGGACGTATGTTTGATCAAACAGTGGTGCGCCATAGCTTAGCCAAGTTGATGTAAAACAACCATCATGCTTGCTGTTTAGAAATTATTGTGGCTGTCAACATGCCTGTGTAGGTCTGTCTAGAGATTCATACTGAGAGTTCATTTTTGTATTTAAAAAAAACTTTTATGGGCGCCTGGGTGGCTTAGTTGGTTAAGCGTCTGACTTCAGCTTAGGTCATGATATTGTGGTTCATGGGTTCGAGCCCCACATCAGGTTCTGTGCTGCCAGCTTGGAGCCATACGCCTGCTTCAGATTCTGTGTCTTCCTCTCTCTCTGTCCCTCCCTTGCTGTGCTCTCTCTGTCTCCAAAATAAACATTAAAAAAAGAGAGAGAGAGAAAATCCCAAGCAGGCTCTGTGCTGTCAGGGTAGAGCCCAACGTGGAGCTCAGTCTCACAACAGTGAGATCATGACCTGAGCCCAAGTTAAGAGCCAGACGCTTCACCAACCAAGCCACCCAGGTGCCCTGAGACATCATTTTTATACAAAATTGATATTTTGTCCTACAGTATCTGTTTATATTTAGCATATATTTATATTTAGCATATATTTAGCATCCCGAACACGTCTTTCTCTCACTAAAGGAGACTTGAATGCCGTTTTTATTACTGATGGGGGCATAGAATCCCCTGGTGGTGTCGATCTGTACTTTATGTGTCCAGTACTTCGTTGCTGGACACCTTGGTGATTCCCAGTCTTCCACGTGTTAATTTAAGCGAGTGCGGTGGTGAACACCCTTATTTATAAATCATTGTGTCCCCCCCGCAGTGGGTGCAGCAGGGGCCCACCGCATCCCCTTTCCCTGCGGTGACTGATGGCAGCCACTGGTTCACATCTGCCCCCTTGTGTGTGAGGAGCTTTGGCCCAAGAGGGACAGGCTCTCTCAGGATGTTACGTCCTCCAGCCAATATCTGAGGAGCAGTGGGCAGGGGGGACACACGGCCAAGACCAGCCCTTTCCTTGCAGCAGGACCAGTTGGGGCACGGCTTTTGCTCCATGCGAGGGGTGGGACCCAGCCGAGGTGCTGCCTTTGCCCAGCTCCTGCCCTGCGCCTCTCCTGAGGGCATGCCTCAAGAAAACACAGTCTCAGATTCTGCTTCTAGCAAACCCGGCGTAAGGCACTATCTCTGCCGACTGCTTCGGGGTAACTGCTGTGCCCTCTGAGTTTCCTGTGAGCCTGGGCTGTTTCCCCAATAGGGCTGTCTTACAGGCGGTCCCTCCAGCAGATCAGCCCCTCGTAACCTGTACGTGCTCAGCGCTGGGTGGGCAGAGACTCCCGGGGTCCAGGATGATGGAAAGGAGATCCTCAAACAGCCATTCCCCGGTGGGGGGGGGGGCATGAAAATTCTCCATGGCATCTGTCATTCCCCCTGAATGGGGAGTCACCATTGTGGAGGACAAGGAAGGCACGGGAACGCTGACAAAAGGGGACGATGGGGCCCCCCAAGAACATCGCAGTCACCAGGACCGTTGACAGTGGTGCCAGGGTTAGGAATCATTTAGCTGATCAGTCCCCACTCTGGTACGCTGTGTGGCCTGGGCAAGACTCTTGCCTTCTCTGGGCTTTGATTTAAAAGCACTTTCTGGGGCACCCAGGGGGCTCAGTCAGTTAAGCGTCAGACACTTGATCTCGGCTCAGGTGCCGATCTTCGGGTTTGTGAGTTTGAGCCCCGAGCCGGACTCTGTGCTGACAGCGTGGAGCCTGCTTGGGATCCTCTCCCCACCCCTCTCGCTCATAGGCACGTGCTCTCTCACTCTGTCTCAAAATGAGGAAACATTAAAAAATACATAAAAGCACTTTCCTTTAGGAAGCGGTCGTCCTAGCTGAGATCTGACTACCGCTTTTCCCTCTCGCTCTCCAGACGGAAGTGCCGTCTTCCGAGGCTGCTTCCGCAGGCCCGACAACCTCTCCCTGGCCTTACCCGTGACAGCCGCCATGCTGAACATGTCCGTGGACAAGTGCGTGGATCTTTGCACCGAGAAGGTAAGCCCACGGTCCTGCTCACAGAGCTCCAGGGTTGGGGGAGGGAAGCAGTGAGGAAAACTGGAGGAAAGGGAGAAGCCGCAGCCCAGGCAGGATGAGGGGGTCATTACTCTGTGACACGGGAGAGGGATGGGACAGTTCAATGTGGATCTAAGGGACGGAAGTTACAGAAGGCCGATTTCTTTCCTTCTGAGGAAGCAGGTTTGTTCCAATCGTGGGGAATGCTCAGGTAGGAGGATGAGCTTCTGGCTGGGCCAACAAGCATGAGTGGATGATTGTCAGGGAAAGGCAAGGGCAACCCCACTCTGGTACAGAGTGAGCTCCCCATCGCGGGAGGCATGCAAGTCGAGTCAGGGTAGGTGTGGCATCCGGATAATTGGGCGTTGGATTCACTTTGGACTAGATGCTCTGTGGGTCCTTTCTCAGCCCGAGACCCCCCGTCCCTAACCAGAGAGTGAACTCCACAGGAGTAGGGGCTGTGCCTTGAGCCCTGGTGCCTTCCCGATACCCAGAGCAGAGCTGGACACAACACTGCCCTCAGAGATGTCCGAGGAACTCTGTCCTTTCAAGATGAGCTCATTGCATGAGGGGCCAAAGCAGAAGCACCCCTTTCTCCGTCACAGGAAGGCGGCTGCCCTTGTCATCCATTCGCTCAGCTGATACCTACTGAGAACCTGCTTTGTGCCAGGCCCCCCTGCTCGGTGCTGGGAATGCACAGCCAGCAAGATGGGGTGTCTGTCCTCAAAGATGCTGGCATTTGCGGGGGGCCTGCCTCGTGGCTTCTGCCGGATGCTCCAGCCTGGACCCCAGCTCCCCGGTGCCCCACCTGCTCTGAATTGTCCTGCTTGGCTCAGCCCCTTTGGAGCCTATAAATCCACAGAGCACACCTCGCAGGAATGCTGAGAGGCTGCCGCTGACCGAGCACGGACTCTGTGCAGCCCTCTGCGCCACAAATCTCACACCTTAACCTCTCACATCAAGGCTTGGACTTGAGAATTTGCACCCCCCTTTCACAGATGACAAAAACCAATGCCCAGATGGGGAAGTCCCTTGCCCAAGTTCATGGCAAGCAGATCGGGCTGACACCTGGGTCTGACTCCACAGCTATGCTCTGAATTTCTGAGCTACGCTAGAGACCTAACCCCCTCCCCTCCCCTCCCCACAGAGACTTCCAGAGCCATTCAAGGGCAGCCAGGCATTTCGTGAGTGCTTGCTCTGCTCCTAAGGGGACTCCTGGAAAGTCAGGGACGAAGTTCATAGGATTAGGAGGTTTGACCAGCTTTTGATCCAGCTTCCTCTCTCTCGGGCATGAATGCCCCTCTCTCATGGCATCCCCTCGAGATGGACATTTCTCAGTCCCTGGAGCCTCCAGGTGGGATACAAACATGTGAGACAATGAGGTCCCGGGGCAAAGTGGCGTAACAAAGGGTCAGACTGCGTAGGGGACTGGGAACGTGGGAATGTGGGTGGATAGGGAGGCCCCCTCCCCTGCAGACCCCCCAGTTTCTTCTGATCTTGGGGGAGCGTCACAGGAGGAATATCCAGGGGATTAAGTGAGCGAGGGTACAGAGCTGCCCGCGCCGCGGGTGGAAGCCAGGATATCAGCGGAGGCTTGCTGATCACTTGTTAGAAAACGCCCTCCGTCATGGCCCACGCAGGCGCACCTGTGTGCCAGCATCTCTGTCTCTGCTTCTCTTTCTCTGTCTCTGCTCTTCAGCTGAGAGGTAAAGTCCCTCTTCAGTATCTGTTTGCAAGAAACCATCCTATTGTGCAAAGTTTGCTGAATTGGCTTGTTACTAGATTATTCCGGGGACCCACCATGGGGAGGATTGGGGCTGCGGGTCAGGAGCAGAAGCTAACCCGCCAAGGGGCAGCCTGCTCCCTTCCGAATCTGAGTACCCCCTGCTTCTGCTCAGCTGCTCCTCGGAACAAATAAGGCAATTAGGAGCAGCTGTTCCCACGAAGACCGTGGCTGCCCGTGGGCATCAGTATCCTGTTTGTCCTCAAGAACGGTCTCAGACAGGCTCTCCCGAGGCGTGGGCTTCGTGTCCCCCCCTGGGACCGAGTGGTTCATGGTGGCAGGGCGGGCGATGGTGAGAAAAACATTTCCCGGTAAGTTTTCGTTCTGGTCCCCTGGAGAACGAGTCGTCCTCAGGCTCAGGTGTCTCTAATATCTCTCAGCCTTCCACTTATCTCCGCCTGGGCAGGAGGCGCGGAGCCCACCTGGCTCAGAGCCCTGATAGAATTTAATCCCGTGGCTTTCCTTCTCTAGTATTTGCATCTATGGTGTGGACGTGTATGGAAGTGCTATTTTTATTTGTCAGCTACTCTTTAATAAAGCTGGAGAGAGGGGCGCCTGGGTGGCTTAGTCGGTTAAGCGTCCGACTTTCGCTTAGGTCATGATCTCGCGGTTCGTGGGTTCGAGCCCCGCGTCGGGCTCTGTGCTGACTGCCAGCTCAGAGCCTGGAGCCTATTTCAGAGTCTGTATCTCCCTCTCTCTCTGACCCTCCCCTGCTCACGCTGTCTCCCTCTTTCTCTCTCTCCTAGAAATAAATAAAAATATTTAAAAAAATAATAAAGCTGTCCTCTGTTAAGTTCCTCCTAGTCCTCCTATACGTGCACACATATGATATTTGTCCTTCTCTGCCTGACTTATTTCGCTCAGCATAACACCCTCAAGGTCCATACAGAGGACCAACCGGGAGAAGAAGGGGGGAAATGGTGGGGGAAAGGGAGAGAGGCAAACCATGAGAGACTCTTGAATGCTGACAAAAACTGAGGACTGATGGATGTGGGGGGGAGGGGGGGATGGGCATGGAGGAGGGCACTTGTGGGGATGAGCACTGGGTGTTATGTGGAAACTAATTTGACAATAAACTATTTGTAAAAAAAAATAATAATAATAATAAAGCTGGAGAGAGAGGACAGCACATAGGCACGCAAGGGGGGCCAGAACCTCCGAGTGAAGCTTGGGGACCCTCAGGTTGGGAAAGGGTGACGTTGGGAACACCAGCCCCCCTGTGCACCGGGAGCCTGGTCTGTCCCAGGGTTTAGCCACCTCCTTCCTCCCCGTGTCCCGCTCCAGGAGTACCCACTGGCGGCCCTTGCAGGCACCGCTTGCCACTGCGGGTTCCCCACGACGCGGTTCCCCCTTCACGAGCGGGAGGATGAGCAGCTCTGTGCCCAGAAGTGCAGCGCGGAGGAGTTCGAGAGCTGCGGGACTCCCCGTTACTTCATCGTGTACCAGACACAGGTCCAAGGTAAGCCGGGGCTCCCCCAGATGCTCCTTGGGGCTTTCCCTCCACAGGTGCCCTGGTCAGCCCATTATGTGCAGCTGGTGCTGCTCAGACCAGCGGGTGGGGCTGGGGAACTTGGCTTTAGCAACCTTGATGGGCAGCAGGTGAGAAGTAGTGGAGGGAGGGGTCTGGAGGCCCTCAACTCTGTCCCTCATCCTGAAGCCCCCACTTCGATGGCATTTCTCCAGTAGTGGAAGCAGTGAGCTTGAGTATGGCGTCGCTGGGGCTGGGCGTGGGGGGATCTGGGGACCGACACAGAGCTGCCACAGGACCCTGGGCAAGTCACTTCCCCTTTCCGGGCCTCAGTTGCCCTATCGGTAAAATGAAGCCATAGAATGTTGACCTCCAAGAGCCCTTCTAATTCTAGGAGTCTGTTTATGTATAAATTGTTCTTTCTCCATCTCACACCTTCCACTTCTACCCCCCTCCCTTTGCCGGTGGGACCCATGCTTCCTGTTCAGCTCCCTTCCCGCCCCTCGTGGCTGCCAGCCCGTGGCAGCGGTGCTGAAGACGTTTCTCCGGGTCGTTCTTTGCACCAGAGTCCGTGTGGAGTTCTAGGTTCGCACTTTCTCACTGAACCCGCCCCCCCCCCCCCGCCCCGCTCTCCTGGGAGGTAGGAATCATCATTACCGCCCTGTGACAGGTAGGGAAACTGAGAATCAGAACTGTTAAGGGCCTTGCTGAGGTCACACCACTGATAAAACTTCTAGATGAAAACCATTTCCCCTGACGGAGGCCTCATGACGGGCGCGCGGGGGCGGGGGGGTTGGTTCTTGGAGAGGTGACTTGACAGGACACTCTGCCCGAGGGAACCCCCTGAAGGGTTACCCCAATATCTGAATATGCTGACCACCTACTGTGTGCTGGTCCTGTGTGAAGCCTCAGCTCATTTAATGAGGTAAAGCCCACAGTGAGTCTATGACCAGGGCACTATCATCCCCATTTTCCAGGTAGGAGAAGTAAGACTCCGGAGGTGGGAACTGGCCACAACCACACATCTACAAGAGTGGTTTCTTTTCATGTCTCTTGACCCCAAAGCCCCTGCTAGAGAGCCCTGCCCACCGAGTAAAGAACGCTCCCCATACCCCCTGAAGCCTGGAGACCCAATAAACCACCAGTGGGCTAGACCTCCCCTTCATCTCCCAGGAACCCGGCCACCCCGTATGGTTGGGTAGGTTGGGTACTGCACAGGCACAACCTACAATGTACGGGGAAAGTGGTGCCCGTGGTCTACACTCTGGATGGCAGTGCCTCTGCCCAGAGGAAGGAGAGCGTGCCTTTTCCTGATGTGCCCAGAGGTGCTGCAAGAACTAATGGCTGCCCCTACCAAAACCTTGTCCCCTTTTCGGCCCCATGGGATTACCAGTGGTGGCCATCTGTGGCTGCTTCCTGAGGTCCTGCTAAGAGCCCAGGGAGCGAGAATCTGTTTCCTAAGAGTGACTCCTGGCTTTGTTTACACTCCAAGGAGGAGGAGGAGAAGCCTCCCGTAGCCTGCTGGAAGTGTCCCTTAGTCTGTGCAGAGCTATGCTCCCTTAGCCTCAGGGAGCGTCCTATGGAGATGAATCCTCCCTTGACCGAGAATGGCTTCAATAGCAGATAAAGAGCCCCTTAATTTGATGACATAGCTCCTTCCCTGGGCCAAGTCCCCAGGCCATGGCTGTTCAAGCTTGCAGCTCCTCGAACTGGGAGGTTTGAGAAGCCAGTGGTTGCCAAGAGCCTGGTCCATCATGGCTGTCATTCATTGAGCATTTACTATGTGCTAAACACTCATGTTCCTTCCAGGAACTAAATAGTTATTGAACACCTATGTGCCAGATCCTGTCTAAGCCCTTTAGACCAAATTATCTCCTCTAACCCTCAATAGTCCAGTGACCTAGGTGCTGCTGTTATTACTATTTTACAGTTGATGCAACCTGACACAGAGGGGTTGCATAGCTTGGCCAGAGCCGCACAGCTAGGACAGGGCCGAACTGGGACTCAAACCCAGGCGGTCTGAGTCCTGAGGCTCCACTCTTAACCACAGCCTCTCTGTATATCTTGGAACTACTTCACACATCTTCTCCATTTAATCCTGGATGGTTATTAGCTCCATTTTACAGGTAAGGAAACAGGCTCAGAGAGAGGAAGAGACTCCTTTGGTGTCACACAGCTAGGTCCTAACAGCCCTCGATTAAAACCCAGGTCTGTCAGATTCCAGAGTTCTATCCAATATTGCTTTCTTTTTAGGGCTGGAAACAACAGCCTTTATACCCCGGAGTGGGTCTTGGCCTCCCATTCAGTATTTGAACAGAGAATTCTGTTTTCTGGAGAAACTTCTTTTCTCTCTGCCAATGTTATATGATGGAAAAATGTCCAACCTCCAAGGGGTAAAACAAATGGAATCCTACCGTGCACACCCATAGTGCACCCCATGTGTTTTACACTCGTCAGCATCCTGTTACATTTATCCTGCATCTCCAGTTCGCCATCCCTTGATCCTTATTTTTGTCATGCATTTTGAAGGACAGTTGTCCCTTGAACAAGATGAGGGTTGGGGTGGTGATGACCCCCTGCACAGTCTAAAATCCACGTTTAACTTTGACTCCCCAAAACACTTAACTGGCTGTTGATCGGAAGCCTTACCCATAACAGGTAGAGTCCGCTGACATCTATTTTATATGCTCTCTGTATTGTGTATGTATTACAGTAAGTAAGCTAGAGAAAAAAGCGTTAAGAAAATCTTTAGGAAGACACATTTATGGTAGCATATTGTATTTATTAAAAAATCTGCATGTAAGTGGACTTCGCAGGTCAAAGCCATGTTGTTTGAGGGTCAGCTGTTCAGTTGCAAACACTGTTACACTTCAGGGTACATGTCCTTAATTATAATTCAGTATTTGCTTATGATTTTTTTAAAGAATTTTTTAAATGTTTATTCATTTTTGAGTGACAGAGACAGAGCATGAGCAGGGGAGGGTCAGAGAGAGAGTGAGACACAGAATCTGAGGCAGGCTCCAGGCTCTGAGCTATCAGCACAGAGCCCGACGTGGGGCTCGAACCCACGAATGGTGAGACCTGACCTGAGCCAAAGTCGGACGTTTAACCGACTGAGCCACCCAGGTGCCCCTGGCTTATGATTTTTGAAGTGACCTTTACATAGTGTAGAATGCATAAATTTTAAACATACTGTTCAGTGATGCGTGAGTAATCCACACCCCTTTCCAAATGTAAGAACTGGGCCTCCTGGGTAGCTCAGTCAGTTGAGCCTGTGACTTCAGCTGGGGTCATGATCTCACAGTTCATGGGTTCGAGCCCCGCGTCTGGCTCCCTGCTGTCTATGCAGAGCCCACTTCAGATCCTCTCTCTAGCCCACGCTCTCTCTCAAAAATGAATAAACGTTTATTAAAACAAAAAGCAAAATATAAGACCTTACCGTACTCCAGAAAGTTAGACACCGAGGCTTTTTTTGCAGTGTGTTGCTATGATCACCACTCCCAGATACCCCCTTGGCTTCAGTAGAAACCGGATTCTTTTTTCCCAAAGTCTCCTGTGCTCTGCCCAGATGCAACCTGGTGCCGTGGGGGAGGGGAGCCGGCCCTCTGGTCGGAGCCGTGGTTGGTTGGCACCCCTCGTGCTAATGCACACTCCCTCATCTGACCCCCCTCACCAAGGACACCGTTGTTGTCAATACTCCCATTTTATTGGTGAGGAAACTGAGGCTCAGATCCATCATGTTCCTACTCAGGTCACCCAGCAAATAGGTTGAGGAATTGGAATTTCAGGTTAGGATCTCAGACTTCTCCCTTGATGGGCAGACCTCAGGGTGGCCCATAGTGATTTTTGTAACGGCAGGTCCTGTGGAATAGGAAAGACCGTGTGGAAGCTTGAAAGGGATTCTGGGAAGGATGGGATGGAAGGTGGTATCAGATGCTCCCGTGTGGTAAGGCGAGGCGAGGATGCATCAAGCACCGGGCGGTCACGGGTCACTGGTTCCTTGGGCAGGACAGGCTCTGTGCAGGAGGGGGGCGGAGCCCAGAATGGCACTGCTGGGAACAGTAGAAGGATGTGGAATGGAGGATGTGGACTAGTCTACCGGCAGTGGGGTGGAAATGGGGTGAGGGCAGAGAGCGGTTCCTCGAAAGAGAAGTTTTTAATGATGAAGTGATCTAGGGCACATGGGTGGCTCAGTCAGTTGAGTGTCCGACTCTTGATTTTGGCTCAGGTCATGATCTCATGGTCGGGGGATGGAGCCCCTCATTGGGCTCAGTACTGGGTGAGGAGCCTTCTTGGGATTCTCTCTCTCTCTCTCTCTCTCTCTCTCTGTCTCTCTGTCTCTGTCTCTGTCTCTGTCTCTCCCCCTGCTGGGAGTGGGAGTGAAGGATGCAGAGCACTGTGGTGAGCTTGGGCAGGAGAGAGGGCATTGTCTGTCATCTCCAATGAAGGATTGAGGTCGTCAGCCCAGAGTGCAGAAGCAGGGCTGGAACCCCAAATCTAGGATTCTCCCCCTCCCCTCCCCCTACAGAGTCCCCTATGCTGGCCTTCTCGCAGCTTCCCTTACCTCTGTAGGGACCAGACGAAATCACCCAGTGCCTTCTTAGCCCTCTGGAGAGCCAGAGGATCAGAATGGTACCCACCTGCCCCTGCCCATCTATACATGAGGAAGCTGGAGGCTAAAAAAAATAAATAACAACCACCTCCGAGCACTTTAGTGTATTAACACATAACACGTATCATGTCAGTCAGTACAAGATCCTTGCGAAGTAAATATTCTTATCCATCTATCCAACCATCCATCCTTCTGCCATGATATCCATCCTTCTACCCGCCCATCTACACATCTATCCATCCATTCACTGAAGACACTGGTATTCTCCCTAGTACATACCAGATGATACAGAAAGTGCTGGAGAGGCAGCAAAAAGCAGTATGGGCAGGGTCTCCAACTAAACAAAAAATCCTTTGACTATTGTGATGAACCGTAGGGGAGAGACAATGTTCGAGAATGACAGCCCAGGGAGCACGGGAGGCAGGAGGTGCTGATTCAGCAAAGTGGAAGGAGAGAAGCAGTGCACCTGGCAAAGGAAGGGGGTGGGGGGCAGTGAAGGCTCCAACCCAGGGTGCTGCGTCAGGAAGGAGCGGGGCACAGACAGGAAGTGCGGAGACCCGAAGTGCTAGCAGGCGGGTGGGTGGAATGAGCCCTGGAGGATGGAGCCTGGCCCCCTGGGGCTTGGAGGCCAAGATCAGAACCTTGGACAGGACCCCATGTAGATGGGTAGCATACAAGGGTTTGCATCTAGAGGAAAGGATGGTGGAGGTGTGAGAGAGGGACTCACTGTTCCGGGGAGAAACTGAGGCAGGAGAGAAGATGCTTTCCTGTAGCTGATGTTCATTGAATCCCTGCTGTGCGATCATCCCTTTTCATCCATGGGCTGATGTAACCCTCGCATCGATCCTGTGACGAGGAACCACTTTTCTCCTTTTAAAGATGAGGAAGCAGCCCCGAAGGAGTTCTATCATGTGCACTGGGTCGTAAGGCTGGGAAGTGGTGGGGGTGGGGCTGCACACGCTGGTCCCTTCCGGACGGGCTCCGTCTGCCCCTGACAGTGTCCTGCCTTTTGCAGACAACCGCTGCATGGACAGAAGGTTCCTCCCAGCCAAGTCCAAGCAGCTCGTCGCCCTGGCCAGCTTCCCAGGCGCCGGCAACACATGGGCTCGCCACCTCATCGAGCTGGCCACCGGCTTCTACACGGGCAGCTACTATTTTGACGGTTCTCTCTACAACAAAGGTGAGGAGGCAGAGGGGAGCAGAGAGGACCCACGGGGGGCGGGGAGCATGGGAATACTCTTCCTGAGCACCTACCGCGTGCCCCGCTGCTCACCTGGGCCCCTCTGCTCACCTGGGCGTGTTGGTCAAGACCTACTGTGTGCTTGGTCCCCTCCCCTCGCTTATAGCAGCTTCTGTGCAATCAGGCCCCTACTATGCATACCTTCCCTCTATTGAGGTCACCACAAACATTCCTTGAGCACCTACTATGTGCAGGTCCCTCACCACTGACCTTTATTAACCAGGAACCCTGTGCTGTATACAGAGGTATAAAACTAGGTTCGTTTTAGGGGATGCTAGTTGAGCATCTGCTATTCGTCAGGTGTCTTGTCTGCATTTAAGCCAATGGTCTGTTGGGCGGGCGCTTTTTCATTCTGTTCACAGACGTTTACTGAGCACTGCTATGCTCTGAGTGTGCTTCCTAAGTTTGGTTTCCCAGTAGGCATTTATGGAGCCCCGGCTGTGTGCCAGGCGCTTCCTGTAGGTTCAGACTGCCGCAGACAAACCTTTCTGGCCTCCTACAGGGTGCCGAGATCTGTGCCCATTGCTACATGTGTGTTTGGGTCCCGCACAGTAGCCCTGGGATGTAGGATGTGGTACCATTTCCCAGGTCCAAAAACTGAGGCTTGGAGTGAAGAAGTAACTTACTCCAAGTCACACAGATTGTTTTCAATGGGCTGATGAGGGATTTCATCATAGTGTTTCCCGGTTTTAAAGCCCACATCCCTACCTCTCCATCACACCAGTAGGAAAGCCCTGGGGGTTTGTACCTGGGAACTGACCGACTTGGATGAAATGTGCACTGGGTGTGAAGCCCTCCCCCAGGAAGGGGGAGGGCGTGCATATCAGGGAAGCGGTTTTGTTTGTGAGAGGTTCTGTCTCTGTGTGGGGCAGCCCTTGGCTGGGGATCTGTATGTCTGTAAACCAGACGAAGACTGCTTCCTGACTGTGTGACTTTGAGCAAGCTTCTGTGCCTCTTTGGTCCTGTGTCATTGTGCACAAATCAGAGCCAACAGTATGGCCTTGGTGAGGTTGTTGTGAAGGTTAATGAGTTGATACATGTAAGAGGCTTAGCGCAGAATAAGTGTTCAGCAGATGTACGCTGTGAATACTAAGGTCCGGGCACTGGCCGGACACAGCTTGGTTTTGACAGAGCCATCCTTCTGTCCCAGCGTCTGAGGGTGAGAAGTGGGAGGAAGGAAATTCAAGAAGGATGAAAAGGGACAGGTTGAAGGGACAGGGCTTAGCAAGGGTGGGGGGTCTGCCTGAGAATCTCGACTTTCTTTATATTGACCAGTTTTTAGTTTGTGCTTAAGCGATCATTTATTGAGCACATAATATGTACAAGGCTCCAAGCTGGGTGTCTCGCTTGCTTATACCAGGATTTGAACCCAGGCTTGGCTTTCAACAGTATCTCTGCTCATTATTAACCACTAAGTTGAGCTGCCCATGAGTTTGGTGGGAGGAAGCCAGGCACAAGACGGGAATCTCTCCGGCTTGTCCTGGGGAGCAGCGGGGTGGAGGGGGGGAGAGGCCGACTCTGAAAGCATCCCGTGGCTGGCCCACATGCTAACCTTCCTGTGGCTGCAGCAGCAACCCTATTTATGAAATTCTAGAATGTTACAGATACGAGGGTCCTTCATGAGCATTTAGTCCAGGGATGCAGGGTGGTATCACCTCATATTGTGCATTCCAGTGAATCCATGTTTAAGAAGGATTCTGAGGTTCTGTTCTCTTTCAGAAACCCAAGTGCCTTAATCTAGTCGTGATGTCTATTGAGGGTGTAGAAGAGGGGACAGTGTGGCCACATGGCCAGTATTTACCACCTCTGGTCTAATTCAACCTCCTAATTTCTGACCAAGGAAGCTGAATCTTAAAATGGCATCAGGGGATTGGATTTTCAGACTGAACTCTTAACTTGTCAGGGATGAGACCTTGGGCAAGATTTCTTTACCTCTTTGAGCCTCAGTCTCCTCATTTATCCTGTGGTGATGTCAGTATTGAACTCCTAATGGTTTTGTAAAAACTATAACGAGACAGTGTGTGTGTGGCTATGCTGTAAAGTATACATTCTCTTTTAAGTGACCTGTAACTGGGACAGCCCACTATTCAGGAAAGGCAAAGGGGTGGGGGGGGGTGGCCTCTGACTGCACATTAGAATCACCTAGGGAGATTTTCAAGTCTGGACGCGCAGGCTGCACCTGAGATCATTCCCATCAGGATTCTAGGAGGGGGCCAGGCCATCAGGAGTGCTTTGAAATGTCCCAGGTGATTCCAGAACAGAGTGAGGCCCGTGGCTCTTAGACCAGGAACCTAGTATTCTCACCTCTGGACCACAACATTAAAAAAATACTGCGTATTTTTGGGGCACCTGGGTGGTTCAGTCAGTTAAGCATTCAACTTCGGCTCAGGTCATGATCTCACGGTTTATGAGTTCAAGCCCCACATCGGGCTCTGTGCTGACAGCAGCTTGGATCCTCTGTCCCCGCCCTCTTTCTCTGCCCCTCCCCTCCTTGTTCTCTCCTTCTCTCTCTCAGAATAAATTTAAGAAAACATACTATGTATTTTACACTCGAGTCTTGGGGGAACATCAAGAGTGGTGAGGTGTGTATTAAAATGTTGAAAAGGAAAAGAGAGAGAGAGGGAGAACGTAAACCCTCCCTGGCCTTTCCTTGGGCTCACACTGTATAAACGTTTCCTTAAGTCCCTCTGACAGAGGCAGCTCTTTGAGCAGCATCCCTTTCTTCAGGGGCTTAAAAATGCTTCCTGTGTCCTGAGCCTTTGCAGGGAACGATGAGATGGCCCTGGGAGTTGGGGGCCGGCAGTGGGGTGCAGGTGCATAGAGGACACCCCCTCCCCATAGCATCAGTCAGTGCTGCTAACCCCAGGTGCCTGCCACCACCACAGTGTAAGGAAGTCCTCAGAGCTGGAGGGTCCCAGACCTTGGGGTGGGGGGCGCAGATCTGCTGCCCCTTTCACACATCAGACCCCAGGTATGAGGAGTTCACAGTTGGAAAACACACCAGCCCTTCGCACATGGGTTTCCTCTCCCTGAGACCTTGGCCCCGCCCCCATCCTAGCTCTTCTCTCTGGAAACCTGTTCCCCGGGCCACCACGGGTCACATCCCCCTTTGCAGCGTCTCTGGCAGACTTCTGTGTCTTCCTGCTTTATCTCCCTTGTATCCAGGGCACTCCTTGCTTGCAGCATGGCCCTTCTTATTATAAATATCATGTTACTGTTAATACTACTGATCATAGTGGGCCTTTATTGAATGTGATGCACCCAGCTCTGGGATGGGTGCTTATAGAGTTTGTGATTCAGTCCGGGTCTGGGGGAGAGGGGGCTGTATGTGCAGAAGGTAGACGGGACTCACCCAACAGGAGGGGAAGGAGTCCCAGGCAGAGGCCACGGGGGTGGACAGAGATGTGAGGAGCGGCCGGAAGAGGAGACTGTGTGATTGGTGAATGAAATGGTTTGGTGGTGCTCGAAGGGGTGAGGGCCGGGGGGTGTGGTGCAGGAACGGCATTGGGGACTGGACAGGCAAGGCCCCTGCCCACCCTGTGAGGACAGTGCACGTTATTCTGGGGCCACAGGCTGGGCAGGGAGTGGGGTGAATGGGGATTTTAGGTAGGGCGGGGTGAAGGGTGGGGGGGGAATGGGTCTGTGCCAGAGTTTGGATAGGATGTTTCAGCTGCAGGGACCATGGTGAGGAGAAGGGGACAGTGGAAGGGACATTTAAGAGGCCATTGATTAGAAGTGATGGGCCCAGAGGGGGTGGCTTCTGTATGATGAGCTGAGCCTCCACAGACTGCTGCTGATTGGAGATTTTTAGCATTTCATCCCATCACTGCCTCTAGATGGATAATGGTGGTCTGTCCCCCGCCCCTCGAACCTTCGATTTCCTGCTCTGGAACAAGCTTGTGTTGGGTGGGTGACCCCTCCAAGGCCCTCCTAGGTCTGATGGGCTACCTGGAATTTCCTTTCCTTTCCTTTCTCAGCAACTTGTCTTCCCTCATCCTGGCAACAGCCTGCCCTACCAAGGACTATTGAATAAGAGGGATGGAGGGAGAGAATGAATGAATGAATGAATGAATGAATGAATGAATGAATGGAGTAGATTGATTCCCACTCCCAGAATCCAAATGTCTGTACCCCTTGAGTTCTGCCTTCTTCTTCCTCTTATCCAGGGAGGGTGGCCATTTGCAAAACATGATGTTCTCTCTGTCTGTGTCCATCTGTCTGTCTCTTTCTTGGTCTTTCTCGGTCTCCCTCTTTTTCCTTCAGTCTTTGTGTCTCTATCTGATCTTTGTCTCCTTTTATTTTGGTGTCTGTTTCTCTCTCCCATCCTTCTCCTCCCCACTTTGTCCCCCTTCCCATCTCAGGGACCCCCAACCCCTAATGCAGAACCCAGAGGTGGGAGGGGCTGGGTGACTGCCCAGATTGGGCAGGGCCCTTCTCTGCCCCTGGGGGCCCACAGATGGGACAGGGCATTGGTGAGGCCGCTTCTTGGTCCTGCTGAAATAGGACAAGTTTTCTGAGAAGTGCCTCAAAATAAACCCCATTATCCCTCAAGGACCACCAGCCTCCAGGGTGTCTGTGTCCAGAGCCAGGAGTAAGTCTTTGGAGTCTCTGCCACTGCCCTTCTCTGTGCCTCAGTTTCCTTAACTGCAAAATGCACAGGCAACTCTAATATTGGGGGTGTGGGGGAAAGGAGAATACATACCTTGTTCTCTCTGTGGCCCCAAACCCACAAGTTGTTTCTCCAAAGCCTGGGACCCTTATCCGGCCCCTCAGTCTCTCAGGGTCACGTGGGTGCCCTAGATAAGCTGCTATCTTGGTGAACTTCCAAAGGAATGGGATTTAAATATTTGGCATTGATGCAGTGGTGTTGCCGGGTCCTAGGTCAGGGAAGAGTGCGGAGGAGGGGCCCCCTGGTGGTGGAGTTTCGCAATTCCGCTCAGGCCCCAGGCTTGCATCCCTGATTGCTCTGTAATTACCTAGAGGCCCCTCCCTGGAGGACAGCTGAGCAGCCTTTGCGTTCCTCAGGTGCACCGATCCCATGTGGCTTCTTAAGGGCTCCTTCCTAAACACACAACTCCTCTCTCTGGGAGGCACTGTGCTACATGGAATCTTCTCCACCTTCCTACTTTTCCAGTGTACCCTACAAACTAACTTCTTAGGCCACCCGAGACTAAAGCAAGTCTTTTGTGGTGCTCATAGGTTTTGGTGTTTTGCTCAATACTGGGCTAGGTTGACTCCATCATGTAACACAGAGAGAGAGAGACGCAATTTAGGGTGTCCACAACACCGGGAAGCTGATTTCACCTAGTTTCACCACTCTGCCCCGTTGCTGTTTTTCTTCTCTGAGAACCTGTACGCTGCCTTGTGCAACCCCTCTGTGTGTGTTCGGTTGCTGTGCCTGTGGTGACATAGATTTTGGCAAAGAGAAAATGAAACCGTAGATGGGAAGCTTCTTGTCTGAGTCATGAGGACCTTCACCGATGCCACGTGTGACTGCGGGCCGTGAAATCCTATCCAGTGCCACCTTGTGGGTAAATGTCTGTGTCCTGAACTCACTCGCAAGCCCCCAGACCCCATTCCTCAGTGTCCCTTGACACTGTGCTGCCTGTGGGCTTCAAAGGCCGTGGGTTAATGTTTCCTTGAAGGCATGGGCCAGCGCTCATTTGCAAGTCTTCACGGGGCCAGTCCCCGGATGGAATCTGGCTCAGGAAAGGACATTCCACTCCTGGCTCTGTTACCTTGCGACCCCAGTGTGGGGAGAGGGGGTGCTGTACCTTCCCGAAGCCTGATCTCCAGGAACAGAAGTAGATACCATGCCGGCCTCATCTTAATCCACCTTAAAAGCCCAAGGCAGAGCCTCAGAAACCTTTGTGCATGTGCCAGGAAGAAAAAATGAACTCCATGGTTTGATGAGTCAGGGTGGCTTCTCAGTCCGTGACGTCCCCCCTAGACTTGTCCTCTCTGAGCTGCCATTTATTGAAGTTAATATAATTATGTGCCTCAGGGGTTTCTTACAACAGCCCTGTGAAGGAGAAGCGGTGTGGTTCCATTCCATAGGTGAAGAAACTGAGACCCAAAGAAATAACATTGAGTTGGAAATACAGCTGGTATCGTGAAACCATTTCTCCTTGGCTTTCACATTGCCACCAAGTGTCTCCACTCCCATGAGGTGGGGGGAGGGGCCAGAACTCAGTCTCGGGAGCCGGGATGGCTTGGGTTTAAATTTTGACCCTGCCTCTCACTCACCGTATAATCAAAGCAAGTTCTTTGATCTCTCTGTGCCTGTTTCTTCATCTATAAATTCTCTCCCAGGGTTGTTGAGAGGATTGAGTTGCTGAGTTACACAAAAGGCTCAGATAGTATCCAGCACACCGTTGGCCCCAGCAAAGCATTTTCCAGCTATCTATTCTCCCAGTTCCTCACTTTTTGAGTTGTTCAAGTTTAATTATTTTAAGAGAATGCAGGGGAGCAGTAGAGAGAGGGAGAGAGAATCTTGAGCCGGCTCTGCACCGTCAGGCACCCATCTCCGTCCAACTCACAGACTTTGAGATCATGTCCTGAGCTGAAATCAGGAGTCAGACGGATGCTTAATCAACTGAGCTACCAGGCGCCCCATCCTCTGCTTTTGAAATGAAAATCAGATCACGTCCCTTTTTTTTTTTTTTTCTTAAATCCTTTTAAGGACTGCCTGATGTTTGTGGTCTAGTACTGAACTCGTGGTCACAACCCTCTACGATTCTATCTGGCTTCACACTCCACTCTTTCTGCTCTCAGCAGTCACTCATGTGACACCTTTTTTCTGACCCACCCCAGGACCTTTGCATCTGCTGTTCCCACCACCTTTCCCTTCCTCTCTCAGGCTAGTAGATTCCTCCTTAGCCTTCACGTGTCAGCCTAAGCGCCTCTTCCTCCAGGAAACTTTTCTGGATACCGCCTGACTAGGTCTGTGATCTTGGCTAGGCTGGCTGGGCTGTGCAGCGCCAGGCTGCAGGTTACATCCTTGTTTGTTCTCGGAGCCCCTCACCATCTGGGACCAACAGCCTTCTAGGGCACATCCCTCTCACAGTGCTGGCAGAGGCATACAACAGTTAAAAAACATGTGATGCACCTTGGGGCTTTGCTAGAGACCCACTTCTGCCCTCATCCCAGTGGCCAGAGCGAGTCACACGGCCACACCCAGGAAGGAAGAGGCACTGGCGGGTGCCTATAGTTGCACCGGAGCCTGACTCCCATGCCTCTTCTGCAGCACCGTGGTTCCTTAAGGTCACAGTTTGCAGAGTCTGGCTCCCAAAGACACGAGACCCATGGATGTGTTTGCAGACTTTATCCCTATCTCCTAGCACGATGCCTGACACATAGTAGGTGCTCAGTAAATATAGAAAGCAATGAACAGGAGCCTGAATGAGCGCGGGAGCACCCCCGAGGCCTCCCGGGGTGGGGGGACGGTTTGGCGGGACCCCTCGCCTCCCCTGCTCACTGTGCTGTCCTCCCTCCCCTCCCCGTGCCCAGGGTTCAAAGGCGAGCGGGACCACTGGCGCAGCGGCAGGACCATCTGCATCAAGACGCACGAGAGCGGCCAGAAGGAGATCGAGGCCTTCGACGCCGCCATCCTGCTCATCCGTAACCCCTACAAGGCGCTCATGGCGGAGTTCAATCGCAAGTATGGCGGCCACATCGGCTTCGCTGCGCACGCCCACTGGAAGGGCAAAGGTACAGCTAAGGCTGGGCGTGCACAGGGCAGGGGTGTGGCAGCTCAGGGTGAGCAGCTAGTGCTGTCTGCTGCGAGGTTCCAGGCGGGCCCCTGCGTCCCACCGCTGCCCCCGCCCATCACCTGCTGAGAGCAGGTGTGATGCTCTAGTCCAGCCAGCAGGGGCCTGGGCTGGGACCCAGGAGCAAGACTCCCCGGGTTCAATCTCCAGCTCCATCCCTCCCTCCCTGAACTTGTTTGTCCCATCTGTAAAATGGGAGTAATAATTGGGCTCTAAGAATTTAACCCTTTAAATGTGAGTCATTATGGAGATAGAAACCCTCCCACAATTGATAGGGCAGGGATTGAAACAGTTTCAAGAGCGCTTTCCCTGGGAGTCAGGAGACCTGAATTCAGCCCCAGGTCAGTGGCTGACCTTATGAGCTCCTAAGAACTCGCAGAGCATCATTGCAGTGAACCACCCCTAACAACTCTGGGCTATGAGGCTCAGAGAGGTTAAGTGACTTACACCAGGTCACACAGCTGGGAGGGTGCCATCTTGATCCCCAAGCTGTGAATCTTAATATGATCTGGGTGGTTTGACAGTCACCTCTGGCACTTAGAGGACAGCTGGGAAGATGAAGGTCTCCCTACAGCGAGGTGGCCCATGATAATGGACAGAGCGTTAAAGTCAGACCCAACCTGTCTCCTCGCGAGTATCTTCATCCCCTCTGGATCTCAGAACCCCACACCGGTTATCACCCACGTCTCCGTCACAGTAGGGAGAGTCTTTAAGCCCCGTCATGATTCCTGCTTTTACAGATGGGACAAGCAACGCTCAGGGAGGTAAAGAGGCTTTTCCAGGAGGTGGTAGAGCTGGGGTTTGACCCCAGAGAGTTGCTCCTGAGCCCCCACCCTTAACCCCTGCAGGGTGACAACCGATGGGGCAAAATGTAGATGGACGTGGAGTCATGCAGGCCAGTAGGTGCTCTGTATTACCCAGCCTCAACACTGGGGGGTGCTGTCCGCTTCACCCCCGCCCCTCCCCAGAGGGGACCGAAGCTTGGCAGCAGGGGGTGAACTGAGCAACCCAGCCGGTACACCCACAACAGTGACCTCATGCACTAAAGCTCTTGTGCCCTGGCTTCCCAGTTCAGTTAAAGGCGGTGGGGTGGGGGTCCTCTGCCCCCACCCTTGCCTCACTCCCGCTCTCAGAGGGTGGAAGCTTACACAGGTGGTGACATTTGTGCCCATGTACCCCGAGGAGTCCTCTGATTTATTTACAGAACAGTTGAAAATGAACACCGCCCAGGGCCAGGCTGAAAAGTCTGCAGGTGCACAGGGCAGAGGCTGTTCCTGAGCACAGACTTTGCTGGTCCGGCCGGAATGGACCTGGGGAGGACCCGGCCCAGTGGTCCTCAGCATTTCCAGAGGTGTGTGGGGAAATCCCAGTGCCCAGATGGCCCCAGGACCTTTGTTATGGTGGAACCTGGGTCTCGGCATGTTTTAAAGCCTCTAGGATGCAGGCCAGACTGAGAACCACTGACTGACCCTGTATTTATTAACAGGGAAACTGAGGCCCAGAGAGAGGCAGGGACCTTAGGGCATGTAATGGGCGGAGTACAATCCAGCTTTCTGCCTCCCAGGTGTCCTGAGATCCCCAGGGAAAAGGGAGGGGACTCACTTGAGAAGCTCACGTGGGGCCACGCACTTGGCATTCATGATGGCATTTAACCCTTCTAATTCCCCGGGAGGTAAGAAAGGCTTTCAAAGTCAAGGTGGCATTCCATTGCACAGGTGAGGAAACCATCCCAGGAAGCCTTCGTCCCACCTGGCTGCGGCCCCAGGGCTTGGCAATGCTGAGATTCAACCCCAGGCATCAGCTACCAGGCTCTGTCTTACCTTGAGGAGGGGTCTCCGACCTCCTGTTGAGGTCCCTGCTTCTTTCCTGCTTTCTCACCTGCTCTCAGGTTCTGACACTTCTAATTCCCAGGAGCCACCTTGCCTCTTTTTCCTTATGCAAGGCAGCCGGGAGGTTGAAAACCAAAGACAAGGGAGGTCTTGTAAGGACAGGCTGAACCACGAGGCTGCGGGGGATGAAAGCGAAGAGATTCTAGCAAATGCATCTCCTGTTGGGGGCCAGCTTAGCCCAGGATGGGAGGGCCTTCTCCCTGCATCCCCTCCCAGGCAGCCTGACCCAGGTCTGAAGTGCTCTGAGAGCCTTCCGCCAAAGAACGATTTCTCTCTCTGCTTTAACGTCTGGCCCTTGTACGCACTTGAGTGCAAGACCTTCGTTTCGGGGGTCCCTGCAGCAGCAACATCACCATCACTTGGGAACTGGCTAGAAAAACAAGTTCTCCGGGCCCCCGACCCCAGACCTGGGGAGTCAGAAATTCTGGGAGGGGGCCTGGCAATCTGTATTTTACCAAACCCCCTAGATGTTTGATACATGCTCCAATGTTAAGACCCACTGATAAAATAAGCCCTGCAGCTGAGAGTGTGGACTGCGGGTCAGTGGTGTCCGTCACCGTGAAGCTTTTCAGAAAAGCACATCTCTGCTCTCCCCCGCCCCCTCCCAGGCTCCCTGAATGGGAATCTGCATTTTAACAAGATTCCCTGGGGAGATTCCCTGCCTTAGGATGCCCTCCCGAGAAGGTAAAGGTCACCTCCCTAGGAGCAGAGCTCCCCCAGCTGTTGAGCACATCCATCCCACCCTGCCCCTTTATAGCTGGGTCAAGGCCCATACAACCCTTCCCATCCCCCATTTTTGGTTCCATAATGTTAATTTTACAATCTCCCTGGAGTGGGTCCAAAGCAAAGTTTTATGTGATATGATTACACAAGGTGAATTGTCCTGGATCTGTTTAATGAAACAGACTGTTTAATGATTCCATGGGGAATTCAGTGCAGTTAAGCTGTTAATCAGGCCCCGGTTCCTCTCGACAAGAGGGAGCAAAGAGGGGCCCGTGGTTCCCCTGCCAGGTTCACGTGTGTGACGGTTCCATTGGAACCAGCACTTGTGACCGATGGGCCGTGGCTCAGCCTGCCTTTATTACCCACTTGGAAGGCAGCGATCACTTACCGGGAATCCTGTGCTCATCAGGGCTTTTGTTTAATTCTTGTTCTTGCTTCCAATGAAGTGGGTTAGTAGCATCCAGGGCGGAGATCTTCGGGGCAGGCACACAGCTGTTGTGGAGGTATCCTGGGTAGCTGGAGTGTTGCCGTCCGGAAGCACCGATGCAACGGATGGGGCCTCTGGGGCACCTCAGTGACGCCGGGGCACCAGCATGAAGAATGATCGTGACTGTAGCCAGCATTTATGGAGCACCTGCTGTATCCCAGGCCGGGCGCCAGGGTCTTTGCCACTCTTGTTCCATTCCATCTGCCCAGCAGGACCAGGATGGAGGTCTGAGCACAGTTGTTGTGCCCATGGGTAAACTGAGCCACAAGGAGACAAACCGAGGTCCCCAAGGCCCCCCCAGCCTCTCTAGGGAGGAAAGGGGTTGCGAATGCTCTCCGTCTGACTCCTAAGTTGTCCATGAACAGACCCCCGAGTTGTAGGTAACAGCCAAAGGTGAAGTGCGCAGTGCTAGACTAGGAGCTGATCCCAGAAGCGTTTTCTAGGAGGGCAGAGCCAGGCTCAGTCAGGACAGACTGGGTTCGAATCCTGTCTTGGGTGATCACTGTGTGGCCTTGAGCAGCTGGCTTCATGTCTCTGAGCCTCCTTTCCCCCCGTGCATAAAACAGGCCTAGTAATTCTCACTCTCCAGGCTTCTTGGGAAAATGGGAAGTAGCTGACACATAGTAGGTGCTCAGGCAACATCCCATGGCGATCTCCAATCAGCAAGCATGCCATGCTAGCTCTAGCCCGTCTGCACCGAAGGCCAGGAGCTCCATTTGCAGGGCTCTGACCATCCTGCAGGCGGGTCCTTCCTTTTCCTTGAAGCCCCCCGTGCAGCACCCTCTCCAGCAAATATTTGAGATGCTTGGTCAGAAGTGGCCAAGCCTGGAAATTGATGCGCACGTTACCCGGTGACTGAGTAAGATCTCCATCTACCTGGGCTCCTGCTGTCAGGGATGCCATGAGGTGACTCAGGAGTGGAGGGATTCTTAAAAAAAAAAAAAAAAAAAAAAAATTAAAACAGACTACACACGTGCTGTATGTTCTTCTAATCATTCAGATACATCTGGTCTTAACCCATTACAACAGTGTGGGCCCAATTAGCCAGATACATTGTAAATAATCTATCGTCAGGATAAAATACATCCTTGTCACCAGGATATAGATTTCCCAAGCAGCGGGGGCGGGGGGTAGCACTGGGAGAACAGGAGCCTCGCCACAGGTTTTGATGCGTTCTGCAAAGAAAGAGGAGCCCTTTATCACGTCACAGTTTGGCAGTTGGGAATTTCAATTTAGTTCCACAAGCATTTATTGAGCCCCTGCTGGGTTTAAGGCAGTGGGGGTGAGGCTCCTGGTGCCTGGGAAAGAGGAGGACCTGGGATCAGACAGGCCTGGACTGGATGCTGCTGCCTGGGGCTGTGTGACCTTGGGCCAGTCACTTCACCTCTCTGAGCCTCTGTTTCCTCACCGGTGATTCAAGTGAACAGTAGCCCCTTCCTCCCAGGGTAGTCTTTAGGATTAAATGAGATCATGGGCACCCATCGCCCAGCAAAGGTTGAGGATTTAGTTTTTAACCAGTTGGGCTCCCCCAGCCCAGCTTGGAAAACTTGCCAGACTCTCGTTCAGTAAGCAGATCCCTCCGGAGGGTGCAGGGCTGTGGTGCCTCTGTGAGAAGCAGAGGGTCTGGCTTCAGGGTTTTGGAGCACCTGCCCTCTGATTCTCCAACAGGGGCTTGGAGTCCCCTTCTACCTTCCCAGCATCCTCCATGATCTCCCTCCGCACTTACCCAGATTCTTGTTCTGTCCTGTGAGTTCTGGAAGCTACAGGGCTGCCTGGTGTCTCTTTGAGGTCCTCTCCAGGGCTCCCCGAGCCATCGCCCACATTCTGTTGTAGCCTGCCTTTGGAGTCACACCGTCCAAACACACCTTCCCCGTGCTGGTGACTGTCCACCCGGCCACTTCCCCATGGCAAGGTAGTAAACTACAAAAAACAAAAAGCCAGTATATGATAACACAGATAATGTGACTTACACTATACCCCCAGCCCAGTCCATTGGAGAGAACATATGGGGGGACTCAAAGGGGGCTTGTGAAGCTCAGAGCCTAGAGAGTCAGGGAAGACCATATCTTAGCTCAGAATAATGACAGGAATAGTAGTAAGTCAACATTTATTGAGCATTTACTGGGTATGGGGCCCCATGCTACAAACCTTACATTTTTTATCCACTTACCTATACAAAGGCTCTATTATTATCCTGTGAGTAGATCACCAATACTAAACAGGATAATTACTACTACACAGGATAACTTGATGGTTAAAAGCCTAGACTTTGAAGCCAGACTGTTTGGTTTCACATCTTGGCTCTATTGATTATTAGCTATGTGACCAAGAGCAACTGACCTAACCTCTCTGTGCCTTTTTTTCTGTTCAATGAAAATGATACCTGTTGCACAGAGTTGTGAGGAAAAATTAATAGCTATATTAATATATATGAATACAAATGTATGTGAGGTACAGTGAATACACGTATTTATGGATAAGTCTGTGTGGGTCATACAGTGAGCACCAAACAAGTGTTATCCCCAAAGGCAAGGCGCAGAACATTCTAGGCGGAAGCAGCGGCACGGAGGTGGGAGGAATCAGGACAGTTTGGGGATCTGAAGGATTAATTAAGGGTGTTCCTGTAGATAACTGCATCCACTGCCTCCACCATCTGACCCTTGTCCTCGGAGCCCCTCCTCCCTCTGACCCGCCCTGCCTCCTCTCCCCAGAGTGGCCAGAATTTGTGAGGAACTACGCCCCCTGGTGGGCCACTCACACGCTGGACTGGCTCAAGTTCGGCAAGAAGGTGCTGGTGGTGCACTTTGAGGACCTGAAGCGGGACCTGTTCGTCCAGCTGGGCCGCATGGTCAGCCTGCTGGGCGTGGCCGTCAGGGAGGACCGGCTGCTGTGCGTGGAGAGCCAGAAGGACGGCAACTTCAAGCGCTCGGGGCTCCGGAAGCTCGAGTACGACCCCTACACGGCAGACATGCAGAAGGTCATCTCCGCCTACATCAAGATGGTGGACGCGGCGCTCAAGGGGAGGAACCTCACGGGCGTTCCTGATGACTACTACCCCAGATGATGCCCCGGGTGGGGAGGGGGCCCCCGGAGTCCCGACCCAGCAGGGATCTCAAGACCCCTAGGGACGTCCCCCCACCCCATCTGTCCTGTCTCTTTGGCTTGGGTACAATCCCCTTGGCTGCTGTTGGCCTTCAGTGAGTTTCCTGCATGACAAAGGAGGCTCGAGGGAAGAGACTGGGCGCTCCCCACACTATTCACAGCCCCCCTTGGAGACGGAGGGGGCCCCTGGTTTGGAGATGTCTCAGACACATGGACCCTTTTCTGTCTCCTCTGCCCCCACCCCGACCACTCTGGGCCCCACCTGTGGGAGGGAGGGCCAGTGGTGGCCCTGGGACATGGGTGTCCCACTGCAGATATCAAGGACCTTGACTTAAGAGCTGGCTGAAGGGACTGTAGCAAGAGAAAATGGCCCCAGAATCTTCCCTTCTGGGCTGAGCATTCATGGCCTCTCCCCCGCCCCCCCTTCTCAGACCCTCCATCCCCAGAATCACAGGCACAAACACCCAGGCCGCTTAGGCTTGAAGAAAGGCCTCACACAGCCTGGGTGGGGTGCAGAGGCCATGATACTCACAGGACAGTAACTGGCACCACCATGTGGGGGGTGCTGGTGTCATGAGCCCACCCCCTGGTCACAGCGCTCCTGAGAAACCATCGGGGTGGTTGACCACTTCTAGGGCCAGAATTCTGCCCTTTTCTTCCCCTGCTATAGCCAGAAGGTGACCTTGGGGTTTTTGATGTCACTTCTAGAGCTTCTCAGGTGTCAACAGCCCCCCACCAGGACGGCCACATGCAGAATGTTAACACCGCTCTCTGTTGCGCCCAACACATTGATTGACACTGCCCTCTGACCCCTTCAGTGGGTCCTTTGCTATCCTAGGTGAGAGAGCAGAGTGCTCCCACTCAGGTGGGGCCATGACCAAGAGAGACCCCCTACCACCTTCCCAGACCATTGACCTTCCCTTGGTCATAGTCCAGTGGGGCTGGCCTCCCTTGGAAGGGGAATGGTTCATTTCCTACAGGCACTGCCCCCTTGGTGGTAAGACCTCAAACCAAAGGATTCTCAAGGACCTGGGTCACTAATTACCTTAGAATGCATCCAGGACCCATCCGTCCCCCACCTCGGATACCAGCGGCTTCACATCCAGCCCACACCTGCGCACCTGTCCCATCCCCTACCACGTAGATGCAAAAGCCATAGGTCACAGATCTTTGCTATTCTGTCTGGAGCAGCGCCCCAGTCAGCCCCTCTGAAGGCTCGGGGTGCAGGTAAAATTGCTTGTTCCCAAATACCCAAGAGACTATGGAGAAGGCGCGTGTAGAGAGATATATTTTTGTAAGAGGAATAGAACTAATGCGTTCTGCCCCTTGGCCCCTGGCCACGCGAAGAGAAGGGCTTAGGGACTGGGCCTGCGGTTCTCCTCGCTGATCCACTCAGCAGCGGGATTTGGGCCAATGCAGGGCCCAGCCAGGGGGCCCCGAATGTATTTTGTACCATGTTTCTTCCCCCCAATCCAGGCTAATTTCTAGTCTTTTGAGAAGCAGTCAAGGGCGTGCCCCCCCAACCCGATGAGAGATCAGCGCTCTCTGGGGCGACCCTTGGTCCAAGAGCTGGGCCAGCTCTGCCAGTGGCCACCTTAGGCCACAAGCCTCTGTCTGAAGATTCCTCAGGTCAACACCATCATTAAAAGCGAGTTTTGTTGATTATTCTACCACGTCCTAGAGTGTTGTGTTAAGTCGAGGTCACAAATAGGGGTGTGTGTGTATGTGGAAGAGAAAGATTCTGGGGTGTACAGTTGTGTATCTGTGTAACTAACTGCCGGGGGAGGATGGCAGGCCCCTGTGTGCAAAGTCTGTGCCCACCTGCCCTTCTGTCAGCAGGCCGTATCCCCCGGGAGAGTGTGTGCACGCGTGAGAGTGAGCGAGCCCTGAGTGTGGTGCTGTGCACGTGTAGGTACAGAAGGGGAGCTGGTAAGAGCACAAGTGAACAGAAGAGGAGGCTTCTCTGCCTCCTGGAAGGTGGAGTCTCCTTTCCCAAACCTCAGCGGTCCCTGAAGGAGGGCCTGTGTCTTCCGGACTCACAGGACAGGAGCTTCCGTGGCGGGATGCTGGTGCCACGAGGCGGTCCCTAGCCAGAGGGAATGACAAGGGTTTGCGTGCTGCCTTGTGGACAGAAAGGGGGACGGGCGTGGTGAACAGAGCTGGGACAGGCAGAGGAAGGGGAAGGAGAGACCTCTCCCCATCATGGGAGGACGGGGAGCTCAGGAGGAGTGGGTGGGGGAGGCCTTTCCCCTCAGTCCTGGGGTCTCTGAAGGAGAGCAGGCGAGGGAGGAGGGTGACGTTTCTCAGGACCAAGGACAGGTCTTTCTCTCCCGGGGATTTGTGTTGGCTTCAAAATCCTGTGGGGACTCCAGCCCCAGGCTAAACGCTCAAGGCAAGTCTGAGCTGGTCACAGAGGAAGCCCCAGTCCTAGATAGAGTCTGGATAAGAGCCGGATGACATACTGATCCATGGTTCTGTTCTCATATGGATTCCTGATTCCAGCCTCATGTTGAATCCTGGCCCTACCCATCCGGAGTCTTGACCCAGGTCGCCGACAGCACTCTGCCTGTGTCACAGGCGAAGTCCTGACCTCCCCCTCAAGATGAATGCTGTTGGTGTATCTGCACTGAGCCAGAATCTGCCACCGCTTTGATTATGGTCACAGACTGAGCCCCAGACCTGGTCCTGGATGAGTCTTTTCCCTGGTCACTCTGGGTCCTGACCTTGAACTCCATCTGGGCCCTCATCTGACCTCAGACAGAGCCTTGGTTCTGGTCCCAAGCTGAGCCCTGAAGCCATATGCCAATTTCCTTTCCCTTTTCTGTGATCTGTTCCTCCCTGACTGGAGGGACGGAAGCCATGCAGCATCCAGACTGACGCACTCCTGGACTCTCCTCAGATCTCACAGATACTGTGCCACGCCCCCCTCCCCCCACAGGTCACTGCAGGGCAGGGGGGTGAGGGGGTCCCCCACCCCTTCAGGCCAGAGTGAGACGGCCAGTCAGGCAACTTCCTCTCGGCCCATCTCTGCCCATTTGTAACACACTTCAGCAACACACTTCAGCAACCGTCTTGAATCAAATCTATGTCAGACCCAGAAGGGACCAAGGCAACATTCATTCATTCCCTCGTTTCTTCACCGAGTATGTACTGGGCATCTGTGGTGGGCCAGACACTCCTCAAGCTTCTAGGGGCTTAAAAAGGAACAAAAAGGACAAAAATCCTTGTCCCTGCAGAGTTTACATTTTACCAGGTACCAAGCAGATACTTGTAAGTGATCGGAAAGCTTTGGAGGAGGGGATTGGAGGGGGCGGGTGGCAAAGAAGGGAAGGGACCTAGGTGGCACGTGACTGACCCCAGGAGGTTATTCTTAACCCCTGTGGACTGAGTGTCACATGCCGATGCCCAGTGACTAGCCGGGACAGGCCCGAGTCCCACAGAGATGATGGCAGAACTGGGCCCATCAGGGACTTCCCCAAAAAGGCCTTCTGCACATCCAGAGTGACGGCGCCTGCACATCAGAGGAAGGAAAGCTGGGGGTTCCGGTGGTCACCCAGTGCAGCGGGCAGGCCTGGACCAGAAGCCGGGACGCCTGGCTCATCCTGCTATCACCCCTAGAAGGACAGGCAGCACCAGCATCTGATGGCAGCTGGGATCTACTGATTTTTCCAATAATCCAGGAGGCAGCTGCAAACGTGTTCCTGGGGGTCAATGTGGGAGGGGGAGAAGAATGGGGAGGCAAAGGGGATGCTGGGCGGATGAGCAGGTCCCACGGGGACCACCTCCACCCAGAGGCCCAGACCCCTTCTCTCTTGCATCGATTTGTTTCTGGCTGTGTTTCTGCACATGCCCTCCGGTGCTCCATTTTCCTCTTTCTGCTATTGTTTCCTCCAGCTGCTCATTAAACTTCTTCTGTCTTGTCCTCACTCCCCCACCCCCACTGTTACCCCCACCGCTCTCCCCTGCCCTCCATTTATTTCATCGCCAACTCTTTCTTGAATTCTGCTCCGTCTGTGCCAGCATCTCTCCATCTCTGGATCTCTGTCTTCCTGCCTGTCTCTTGCTCACTCCTCACCCCTGCTGTCCTCTCCTGCTGCCTCCTCCTCCTCCTCTTCCCAGGGAGAGAGGGGGCGACTCTGCTGGATGCAGACACAGTGAGACAAAGTGCTACCCAGGCTGGTAACCAAGGAAGTGGTTTCCTTAGCAACAGAACTGCAGGCCCAAGCTCCACTGGCCGGTCCCTTAGCTGTTACAGTAAGTACGGAGAGGGGGGAGGGGGCGGCAAGCCCGGAGATGAGGGAGTGGGTAAAGACACCGCTGTAGGGATCCTCTTGAGAGGGGACAGTGGTCCGAGACAGGCTCAGTGGCTGTCACTTTGGGGACACTCCAAAATAGGAGAGGTCGGGGCCTGGGGAGGGGTGCAGAGAGAGGCACACAGGAAACCCACAGGACTTGGTGACAGACTGGATGTGGGGAGGGGCAGCAACGAAGAAGGCAGAGGGGCCACCAAGGTTCTGCCTGGGCAGGTACCCGCTGGAGGTCCTGTGACAGACGGGGAACATGGGCAGAGGAGCAGGTGCAGAGGGAGAAAAGACGGCAAGCTGACATAGCCCCCTGTTCCCAAGTCTTCACCATCTAGTTGGGGTGAGACCGGGGGAGGGAAGTGGAAATAGACACACAAATAGCTCCTGCGATTCTCCCTGTAAATTGGTGACGAGGAACACCGGAGAAAAAAACGTGACCATGAGGGGGTGAGGCTCAAAGAAGGTCAGCAATCTGCTTGGGTGACACAAAAATTGGTGGCAACACTGGGATTTGAACCTGAGAACGATCCAGAAAGTAGAAGACAGAGAGGGGAGAATATGGAAAGGCAGAGAAAGAGGCACAAAGAAACAGAGAAACAGCAAGATTTAAATCATTGATTTGCCACTTTTTCCCACTAGGAGAACAAAAACATGTTCAATTTTTGAGAACTGAGGATGGGGGAGGGAGTCAACAATAGTGCCCAGCAGCACAATCGTGGTTGCAGCTATAAATAACTGTCCCCAAAGAAAACACCTGTCAAGATGCATTCACTTCCTGGGAGAGAAATTGTGTCCCTGGTCCAGGTTGATATTTCAGTGACTCGGGAGGGGGGGGAGGGGCGGGTGATGAGGGCGAAGGGCACAAAGTTGATCAATGCAACACGGAAACCTTGCTCGGCTTTTCCCAAAATGCAATAAAACGTGCAGGCGAGGAGAGCCATAAATCTGGATGATAATATCCGTCCCCGCAAAAGCAACATGTTTATTTATCATGTTTGCACGTTTACTATTTCCCCTCAAATTTATAGTCGGCAATCTGCTGGCGCGCAGGGGGAGAAACATGGAAATGAGAACCGGCAGAACATCAGGGAGGAAGAAATGATAAAATATTTATCCCCCCACTCCACCCCCCACGCCCCGCTGCCTTAAATCCAATTTCAAACAAAGGTGGTGATTTATCCGAGCCGGGCCAAGCAGCCCTACTTCAGGCCTCTGACGGCTAATTGAAATGAACAGTCATTATAGAATAGAATGTGGTGTAACAAAATGATATTTGGGTCTTCCGGAGTCATTCGCTAAATGATTATGGGGAACGAACAGTCAGCCGGAAGTGAGAGAGAAGGTCCATCTTGGTGGAGACTACACTTGTGGGTGTTCTAAGTGGGGTGGGGGTGGGGTGATGGGAGTGGGAGCAGGCAATTCCGGGACCAGATTCTCTTCTGTGACCTGGGTTAGCACCCAACCTGTAATCAGTTACCTGGGCTTCCAAAACCCGGAATGCCCAGGCCTGAGGTCAGACTTTCAGAGTCAGATTCTCCCAGAAGACTCCGCCCAGGAGTGGGTGGGAGGGAGCCTCTGCGCTTGCCGTGAGGCAAAGGTGTGTCTACTGGGGGCTTGTTCACTACCGGCCTCAGTCTGGGCATCACTACAGCAGCAGCTGTATCACTGGCGGCGTCATCTGTGCATCCTGGCTCTTCTGCCTTCTGATCTCTGTACCCCTAGAACTCACTCAGTACCCGGCACGTAGTGAGTGTGAAGGAAATGTGGGTGGACTGTTCTGAGTAAGTGAATTAACGAATACAGACTGGCTGAGCCACAGGTCATCTGCCAAAGGAGACCTGAGTTGTTCTTATTTCCTTAGCTGCCCTGAACTTTATCTGCAGTAATACTGAATTAATTACTGACCCCCTGCTTGAGTCCCCAAAGCCAATGGCATAGCGTAGCCCACTCCTACTGACTCCTGGGAACCAACTGCATACATCTCAAATGTACACTCTGTGATGTTGCGTTGGGAGCTTGAAACTGTGAGAATATTTACACCGTGGATATTGGCCAATGCTACAAATCAGGCAGGATTGTCTTTTTTTTTTTTTGTGGCATGGGGTGGGGGTGGGGGTGGCCCAAAGCGCACAGGGGCACACTGCCCTAGGGCTGGTCTTTTCTGTGCCTTTATTCCTACCATCCCTTCTTCCTGGAAAGCCTTTATCTGGCTAGTATCTTTGCCTCCTTAAGATTTGGCTCAGGCCCTTCCTCTTCCAGGAAGCCTCCCCTGATTGCAAAGACCAAATTCAGGTCCTCCTCTAATCCCCTGGATCACAGCATTGGACATGGCCATTGTTGTGAGCCCCCAGGGGTTCTCCCTCCCT